GTGTGTGAGGCACAAAGTCAACTTCCTTCTTCACTACTGGAGATTCTTTCTGTTGTTCCTTTTCTCTTTTTTCAATGTCTTCTAGTACCTCACGCTGAAAATGTAAAGATTGATATTTAGTAACATTGGGTACAGTTTTTATATAACTCAAAGGTACAGGAATTTATAAAACGCTCATAATGTTCAAAATAAAATATTCAAAGTAAATTCAGATGTAATATTTATAGTAAATACACGCATATTATATATATTATGATATGTAATTAGTAAAACTAAAGAAAGTTTTTATTATTTCATTTTCATTAATAATTTTAATGATAAATTTTGTTAGTTTGTTTTTTAAATAACAGTACTTATTCTTCGAGTAAAAATTGAAATTTACATTATTCGGTTGTAAACTTTCTCATTATCAGATATGAAAATAGCTTATACAATTAAGACAGGTATATTATGATTGTAAAATGTTCGGCTAAAATTATCTCTTTTTAACAAAAAAAAGGGGACTGAAGGTTTTTTGAGTAGCGAAGGTCATTTTTCACAGAGATAAGACGTACAAAGTTTTCTAAATGGATCGAGTTCGAATTCGAACTAATCAAAGGATCAAAGAAATTCTAAACTAATTTAGCGATTTGCTTAGCACATCTTACTTCCAAAATCAAACTCGACGATCAAATGCCTAACAATGGTTGAATTTTTAAAGCCATTGATTTCCATTAAGAATGATCCCCATTGCTTTAGAAATCTAAAACACCTCCAAGAAGAAAATTTTTTTTTCCAAACACTCCGCCTCCCCCCTAGAGAGAAAAAAAACAAACGTTTTCTTCTTACCTCTGTGTCAGAAAACGACGCCATGAGATCCTCTAGCTTCTTAGGCGGACTTTGCACGTTGTTCGCCGGTTTGGTCGGGTAAAGTTGAGTCCCCTCGATCGGGAACGGCTTGGGTAATAAAACCTCGTGATCCTCGGGGTGTTTGCTCGGCGGTACCGTGGTGGTGGTGTTCGAGAATTTGTATATAGTGGTGGCGGACTGCGGGTTGGTGGACTGCGACGTTGTATAATAATTAACCGGTGTACCTGGCTTGTCAGGCGTCAGGTGTCGTCCACTGGACGGCGGCCGACTAGGATAATGTTCCTCGATCCGATTGATCGTCGTATGCGTCTCGTTTATGGTCGGTGGTTGATTCTGATAAATCACCGTTGTTGTTCCAGGATGATCTGGTCGGTCACCAGGTGGATACCCGTTTGGATAACTTCCATCCACTTGGTAATACTTTTCATTCCGCGTGATGGTCGTTTTGTTTTCCAACGGCGGTGAACCAGGATGATAGACTGTCGTTGTTGTTGGTTGCCCTGGCGAACCACCGTGGTGTTCCTCGCGGTAGAACTTGGACTCTTGATGGATCGTGGTAGACTTCTTTGTCACGTCTGTTATAGGAGGCGGTGGACTGCTGTATCTAGTCGGTGTCCGAGGTGGAACGTTCTCGGTCATGGTTTGATAGGTGATCGTTTTGTCGGTGGTGCTAGTAGTTGCTTTTGGTATCGTGTACGTGATAGTTTGGTCACCTGGCAGCACAACGCTGCCTGCTGTTGGTACGTTGCCACCCGATAGATAGGTTTCCGGTGGTCCTGGTAGCTCGTAAGTGTAGGTTTTGATGGTGGTGGTTACTTTCGTGTTTGGACCTGGTGCCAGGTTGATCGGTATCGCTGGTGTCGGCGATGGCACTGGTACATACTCGACGCTTCCGTATTCTTGCGCAGCACTCGTGTGCACCGTTGTTACTGTGTTTTGCACTGGCTCCGTTTGATAATCTACGACATTGAAATAGATCTCGTATACAACGAGGTAATTTCAGTTTTCGAAAGCTTTTAAAAATTTACACGTTTAACATAATTACGTAATATATGTAATATTGTAATATATATATAGAGTGTGCATTTTTTAACAAATTTTGTGAAATACTGTTACTAGTAGTATTTTCACTGTAGCATCAAAAATATTAGAAATTATAAATTTAATTTAAATGTTTGTAAATTACAATGTATTACTTTAGATAGGATAGATAGATTAAAGAACTTTATGTTTCATTTGTTATCTTATATTTCTATTATAGTATTGAAAGTACTGAAGATTCTTGAAATGTACAATCTCTGATTGTATTTATTTGTTTTAAATGTTGGTATTGTTACCTGGCAATGACTTCCACAGCATGTTCAACGTGTTATACATGTTAGAGTTAGAAAAAGATTATTATACTGTAGATGAACAATGCTTTTTAATTATCTACTTAAATAAACAGCATTGATCATTTAAACTTCAAATTCACACGAAACTCAGTGCTAATTTTGTACGATACTTGTAAATTTATAAAATGTTTTTACTAACTGGAAGATTCGTGAATATACTTGACGTCCCTTTGAGCACCCGGTAAAGGCGAAGTTTGCTTCGAACGAGATGTAGAACTATCGCTGTATACCTGAAATATGAATATCCTTTTATATTTTTTAATTCGTATCGAATTCATGACGTGTAAAATATTGTAAGAGACAAAGTACTCACTAGTTCCCTGTTGACTGATTTGCTAACCGGTTCTAAACCACGAGGCATTGTGCTTTCTTCGTAGGTCTTTTCTCGGATATCATCGCTGTAAAATATACGCGCATATTCTGTTACACGGTCTGTTGTAATTGAAAATAAATGATTTTATTGTAATAACACCATATAGTTAGATATTTTGATTTCAAGGCATATAGACAATAACGAAATATAAATTCTATCTGAATTATTAGCTGCCAGTTTAGCAAGAAGCGCTCGTATAATTTTGTTGGCAAGAATACAAGTAATTTTGATATTTTCGTCTTGCTTTGGGAAAGAATGTTACTTACATCATGGTGTTAGTCAATGTATTGTCTGTTGTCCACGAATCTGTAATATAAGGATATATTAAGTTGATATTTTCATAGATTAGATCATTTAATATTACAATCCAATAATAAAATATACAGCGATGGACAAGAGAAAGTGCAACAAATGGTACGAGAAAATCTATAACTTTGCGATATAAATTCTAAAAAGAATAATGAATAGATATAATATGCACATATACATTGATAAAAGTATTATGGACAAATATCAATTTTATTGACTGTTGTTGTTCACCTAATCCGTAAATTAAATTACTCAAAATTATATTATGTTAAGTAAATAAATATGCCGAATAATTTTATAATTCATTAAATTAAACATCGTTATTTAATATCCACGTTCCAGCAGTTTACCGAATTATAAGATGCTTTTCACAAATCGACTGTGGCCTTGAAATTACTTCACAGTGATCCTTTGAAATTTGATGTATTTGAAAATTGTTTCTTCACGAAGTTACACGAGCTGAAAATATCGACGATTTTTCATCGAATGTACGAATACTTTCTGCGTGTACTGAAAATATTCGCAAGCGAAAGCTTTCGTTGAGAAGTTGAACGGCCATCACCCGGTAACCCAATGACAATGGACATCCTTGTGTCTCAATGTCGCCGGTTTTTCGGTTCGAATTTATTTTTTTTTTTCTTTCTCTCTTCATTTCAGTTGTTCCTTTCCTCTCTGTCTGAAGCGCAGCAGAGGGACGGAGAAATCGGGTCAACCTTCTGTTACACGCAACCCTAATATGGATACGGTTGTGTATCGTGTGTTACCGCAAAGAACACACACTCTGGTCGCAACGTCACTTCCATATAGAGAGACAGCCAGCGCGGAAATCTTCTCCGTATAATGGCGTTGTCGTGTTACCTGCGACCATGGTTTACCGGAACCTCAGAATTTCAGCAATTGCCACATCTGCTTCTCCTTTGCGTAACTTTTCTTGCATATATTTTAAAGGTAAATGCTTTTCCTCATGGAAAACGGTGTTGTAGTATGTACACGCGTAGTTTCAAAACTTCGATTCTTCATCATTCGTTGTCACATTGTACAGTCGACGTGCTGTCAGTAGTGGTACTAATTAAATCACTTTTCCAAATTTTATTTCCTAAATCCTTTGTTTTATCCCCAAAATTTTTTTTCCAATCCTCCATTCGCTATTGCTTGTTCCTGGCCGTTCAAAGCAGATACGATTCTTATAAAATTATCTCTTCAGTTTCCCATTCACTGGCGCTTGTTCTATCATACTATATTTCTTTCATTTAGCATAATCGTTAAATAAATCTAACTAAATTAAAATCTTCATATCTTGCAACGTGTAAGGATTAGCAGTAATAACGAGTTAATAGCTCGTTATATTAAATTCATTTCTCTTCGATAAATCGTTCGAGGCACTTAATCATGTTTACAAAGACACTTAATATCCCCTCCTCCCCCCCCCTCCTTCCTCTTGTTGGAGTTCCGGTATTTCACAGCAGCAGGTAATGGTCGTTCGATTAATGAAAAGGAGGCGCGAGGCGAGTTTCGCGAATATCTCCTGGCAAGGAACGAACCTCCCTCGTTTTGTCGTTCTCATTGTTAATTAACCGTATACTTGCAAGGCCGTTCCGCGCCTTAAAAGGAGCGACACGAGTGACCAGCTCCCCTTCCTTCCACGATCGTTTAAAACGCGGCAGCGCTTGCGCGCGATTCCTCGCGAACACGCCCGAGGGTTCATAGCGGTATATCGGACGTTCCATCACACAAAACTCCACGCTTTTTACCCAAATTTCATTCCCCTGTACATGTGATTCTCTCTCATTGTTGTTCTCCTCACGTTTTCCCCGACTTGCATTCCTTCCACTTTGCTAGTGAAGTTTCTCGCTTCAACGAGAGCAGCCGCTCCTTCTCAATTCGATTTCCATGGATTCTCGAATGATATCTCTCCAGTAATTTGACGATTCATTCCTTTGCGTTAAGTTGACAAATGGCAAAAAATTTAATTTGCAGTAGATTAAATTTTCATTCAGTCGCGTATAAAATTCACGTAAATTTACGCGTACGTGTTCAATTTTATACATTTATATTTTATATGTTTGGGGATATCAATGTTCTTCAATAGTTAATAGAAAATTTACCAGAATGATACGAAGTAGTACACGTTTAATTAGGAGACTGTTGATAATTTCTACAAAAGTGCAAAAACTGATAATTCTATATCTTTCAATTGCTGACTAATAATCATTGAAAAGGGACATACACTCCTTATCCAAAATTTAACGTTTAATTTTGAAGTTAAGCAATAAATATAATTTTCGATTGAATTGTTATCTGGTTTACAGTCGTGAATTCTTAAATAGTTCCAAGGTTTTTTTATATATTTTATTTGTCGAAAAATTGATTAAATAATTTTGAAAGTCAGAGCTAGAAGTATTAATATAAACTTACCAATTGGTTTACCATCGAGATTCTTGTTATATTGATACGACACCTGTTTGTAAGCGATCGTTTTGCTTTGACCAGGCTGCACCTAAAACAGAAATAAAAATTTTATCAAACATTGTTGTAAACAAAAACACTTACAACTCTTTTTATATTATATTATTTCTTACGATTAACGATCTTATATCTATCAGATTTTGATAGATATAAGCAATCATTTTGATGCATTTAAAGTTATAAAAATAATTTATATCTAGTTTTAGTTTAAGAGAAACTTGACTTGAAAGTATGTATTAGCATGATATTATTGTGAAATTCATATTTTTGTCATTATTATTATTTTAAATTATTATTATTAAAAATTTTCCAATTTAGAGTGTTTAAATCTAAGTATTATTTTAATGAATAATTTAAAGAGATGATTAGTTAAAGATTTTTTAAAATTTTAATGTTTAATGCATGGATAAATTAAATACAAAAACAAGAATGTAAGTTCTATGTTAAAAAGTTATATACTCGAAATTTCAATCTTTAAAAAAATTGATTGGAGTGATAATACGATATCCCGCCACACAGGTCGTGTTACATTTTCTCGCCATACAGTCGTTCGCTTAAGAATAATATTCTACATCATATGACATTATTCATGATCTACCTTCATACCATAAAATACGGAAACGTAAGTTAATTTTATAGGGAATTAAATTTAATTACAAACTATTTTGACATATATGTCGCATCAAATTATACGAATAACATTACTTTTTTACGAAAAAGCAGTTTTAAAAATCAGGATGTTTGGACGAATTTGCTGAAAACTTTCGGAAACTATCGATCATTAATGACATTTTTAATAGAATTTGAAATAAGTTCTTCTTATCGTGAGATTCTAAATAAATTAATAATCTCGAGATTTTCGTTAAATTTCTAATAATTTTGTTTCGTAATCTTCCCACAAGCGCTCCAATATTAATGAACGTACTAACGTAGCTCGATGAATAATTGTAGTGTGTTTATTGCAAAACATGTGGGTCGTCTTCAAGTGACTCTCCTTTTAAGCTGATAACTGTAACGAAAATCCCACATAAAACGCGTTGGTGGGATCGGTAACAGTGTGTCGAGTCACTTGGAATTTTCAGTACTCTCAGAGACGAGATAATGAATATTTCATCGGGACGAGGTTTCGAATCTCTTCTCAACGTATTAAGTAATGATTACGAACATTCGAGAATAATGGCAACAATAATTTTTTATTGAATTTAATTTCTAACACAGAGTGTTCGAAAGAAGAATCTTTTTAATGGAATAAACTCATGAAATTGATGAATCGAAATATTTTGAAACATTCCTTTGCAGTGTTTTCTGTACACGCTTTTGAACAATTCGTTCCCACATTCTTAAAATATCTATTTTTTAATCCTTCTTAATCTTCGTGTTTCTACGATTGAATATTTCATGTGAAAACAACAATTTCCTAACGCGAATTCAGATTTTTCGTCATTTGCGAACTGAGCGATTCCACTTTAACTCTGTGATAATGAAAACTGATCTTCAAAAACGGTGTCGATCTACGTACGTACATGTAGATCAACACGTATAACGTTTGAACGTTCCTGCGAACACAGCCGATATCCAATTAAAGCTGAACTGGAATGTAAATTCTACGCGAACGACTTGCCATGGATTTAGCGTTTTCATAGTTGAGATGCTGTTATTTCGTATGCAAATGTGAATAGGCGGTGTTCTTGCGTACCTTAAGGGTTGAAAGCGTTTTATCCGCGCGAGCGTAAGATGCGCGCGATAAATTGCACGTGTAACAAATCAACGTTTTCATTGAATGTTCAGATTACGGGCTGACCAGCTAAGGAAATGCCGCAATTACCCTAGACCCGTAGCTCTGGACAGCGATTTTGCATGATCTTCTAATGCATGATGTATCTCGCGAGATGCCAGATTTATGATACCGCATTCCCGGTAAGAAGCAGCCGACCATCTTACTTCTCGGCCACAGACGCTATCGATGCGATCGCATCAAAGTATTGTGAGCTGAATGGAATTTAGAGGTCTGCTCTAGCCAGCATAATTGTATCGATGATCCATCATTCTCGAGATTTCAGATTATCTTCCGAGGGGTAAGGCTCTTTTCTTCAACTCGTTTGCATGTATGAATGATGCGTCTCGCGTGATGATGGATGAAGTGTCTCTTGCATATCTTTTTTGTTAAATTCGCCATGGTTCTCGAGTCATTTGTGTCCTTCATTTAAATTGTGAATGATGAAAATTTAAACAGGGTAAGTGAAAACATTGAATAAGCTTCTGATTAGAGTTATAATGTTCATTTACCATATTTACAACTTTGTATTATCTATATAGATATATAATAGCTATGTATGTCAATTATTGTATTATTATGTGGCAGATGTATATGATATTATAAATTTACAGTATTTACGAAATATAATTTTTTGTTACACAATTGTAAATATAGTAGATGAATATTCTAACAAATCGTTAAAAATCTTTTGATATTGTATCATAATATAATACAATATAGTGTCTATAAAATCTGAAATTGTTCCAACTTTGTGAGCACATGCGATAGAAAAAAATCTACAAAAGGATTTAGAAAGCTTGATGTATCTAGTTTTTGTTTTGTCTGTATAGAATGACCATGGCTTCACTAGAAGAAAGAGTAAATTGTATTCTTTGGTTGGCTGAGAATCTATCGTTGCTGTCCAAAGAATGATGAAAATTTAAACAGGGTAAGTGAAAACATTGAATAAGCTTCTGATTTGTTAGAATGTTCATTTACCATATTTACAACTTTGTATTATCTATATAGATATATAATAGCTACGTATGTCAATTATTGTATTATTATGTAGCAGATGTATATGATATTATAAATTTATAGTATTTATGAAATATAATATAATGCAATATAGTGTCTATAAAATCTGAAATTGTTCTAACTTTGTGAGTATATGCGATAGAAAAAAAATCTGCAAAAGGAATTAGAAAGCTTGATGTATCTAGTTCTTTTTTTTTGTCTTTATAGAAGAACAAGTAAATTGTGTTCTTTGGTTGGCTGAGAAGCTATCGTTGCTGTCCAAAGAAGGTTTAGAACCCAATACAAGAAAGAAGCACCAAGGAATTCTATATTCACATATTGGATGAAAAAATTTCAAGAAACAAGTTCTGTCAATAATAAGTCACAGTCTGGTAAGCCACGTGTTAGTGAAGAAGTTGTAGCATCCATAGAAGAAACCTTTCAGGCAAATCCAAGAAAATCATCAGAGCTGAAGCTTTGAAAAACTACTGTGTTTACTTAAAGATTTTGTGGACAAGACTTCACGTGGAAGCGTGAATATCAAAAATAACATTAAAAACAATATTGATTAGTAAGAAATATATTTGAAGTAAGTAGCTAAGTCAATCGAGTAATACTTAGATGTTAGATTTGAAATATAAGGTGATCTAGTTCTGAGTTCTAATTTCAAGTTCAGTATTCGAGTAGTATGAGATCGTATATCAGGCCGATTTATTTTGGTTGAATGTCGAGTCGGATTTTCTGATGGTAACCATGAAGACTACGGTACTTTCGAGTATAAAGACTGATCTCACTGCATGCTATGATCATTCTGATACATCGTGCGCCTGTATATTAAGTACGTAGATATGGATCCGTGCAAACAGTATACCACCTCGAGGCAAATCTCGACCGATGCAATCTCTTTGACATATAATTGGAACTGTTAGGTTTCAACAAAAGAACGTGTAAAAAAGTAGACACTGAAATTACAGTGGTTGTATGCCAGTCCAAACGTTTTCAAAGCGATTTTTTTGTGTCACGTTAGTTTTCTGCGTTTCACTCGGATAAAAGCAAACAGAACAATATACGCATTAATAATTCTGACTGTACAATGTAATTAAGCCAATGGTGAATTTTATTTGAAACAGAGATAAAAAGCAGCATAATAACGAGTCATTTAGCGAGTTTCATTGAACCAAAATAACTAGATCAGACCTGTCTTTTGCAATTTTATATCTTTTATGAGTATAAATAGAATCTACGTAGAAATTTGCTTGATCTACCAAATTGCTGGAATTTTGAATTTCTCAAAAATTCGGAAATGTTTCTAAAAAATGCAGTTAATCAACATTCAGGCTTGTTAAAACAGGGACATTTTCATTTTTAGATAGAGAGGTACACGCGTATAAAGAAATGAGTAAAGCCGAAGCAAACGTTATATGTGCAACTTACATTTTGCAATTCTGAATCGATAAAGTCCAAGCCAGGTATACCACTCGGTGCACCACTCAGCCCAGTGGTCACGTACTTTTCAGTGGTGGTTGTCATCGTTCGAGTTGGTGAAATGCCTCTAAAGTTAAACGGATGAATTTTTTTTTCCTCCCCCCCTCATTGAGAGACGCGTGCACGATTGTCACGTTCTTTCAAATCGAAAAACTTCGCAGGTTTACTCACCTGGCTTCAGAGACCACCTTGGTTGGATTTGCAGCTACACGATACTCCACTTGAGGCGAGAGTGCCCTGCCACCGCGACTCGGGGTGGCACTTCTTGAGACACTTGTTTGCAAGTCCTCAAGAAGAGCATCTAAAATCATGGAATGTGTGTTCCGTCATTTTTGTACTTTGGACAGGGCATGTTTGTACAGTTGCCTACGAGACTATTGGAAAGTGTGTGTGTGTGTGTG